TAAGTCCTCATCTATCAAGGCTAACCCAGCAGTTCTTGGCCAGAGGTGCAAAATTATAAAATTATGGAGTTTAAAACAAACAAAAACCATCATAATGCTATTATTACTCCTGACAAGTAATTCCTTAATATAATCGAAAGTGATCAGATTCCCTTAAGTGTCACCAAAATGTTTTCTTATAACTGTTCAAATCAGGATCCAAACAACATGCACACACTGCATTTGATGTCAAATTTTTCATCTACAATTCCCTTTTTAAAAATGCCATTTATTTATTGACAATTTGTACTATAGAGTTTCTCACATTCAGAAACTAGATAACTGCTATCTTATGGCCAATCAATTTGTTCCTCTATCCCCACAGGTCTATGGTTCTATTAGGTTTGGGTTCAATTTTTACTGGGTGGGGGGAAATTTTCACAGGCAGTATGGTATACTTTCTATTAGTGCATTGCGAAGCATGTAATGTCTAGTTGCTACACAATGTCTCAGTCTATAACTACCAAAAGTCAGCCTATGTTCCTGAATCCAGAAGAATCTAACCCTTACACAGCTTGTATTCAAAACTGAAGTTCTTAACCACTATGGCAGATATAAACCTAACACATATAAAAAGCTCTGCTTTGGTTTCTTTCTTTTATAGGGAGGTTACTGAAAAAAGAAAAAGTGTTTTTGATGTTAAAAAACTTTAAAAGTCATTTAGACCTAATCCAATCTCCCCTCATTTTACAGGAGAAAAAACAGAGGCACAGAGAAAGCATGAGAGTTGCTGGTGTCTGCAATGTTAGTCACAAGCAGAATCAGAAGTATCATGAACACACCTAATAATGGTAATCATTTATTACAATATTTTTAAAACAGCTATTTTAAATAGGTAGCATTTATTAGATAACCTGTGCCTGGCCCTATGCTACAGGTCTATAAACATTACCTTCTATAATTCTTACAACCCTCTGAATAGTAACTACCATACTTATTTTGAGAATGAGGCAGTGGTGGTTCAGAGAGGCTGAGTAATTCACCCAAGACTGCACAAGTCAGACACAAAGCTGGATGTACACAAATATCACATCAGTATTTTGTATGTCTACAACAAATATATGTCAATTTATACCTCCAAAAAATAAAAATAAAAAAGCAGCAGCAAAGTACAGATTATATGATTCCAGGGGCAGAGCTCTTACTTCCACTCAGTCAGCTTCCCAGGGTAGGGAAGGACAGGGCCTGGGTCTGCAGGAGCTCTTCACAGTGGAGACTGATGCTCCAGACCCATAAATAACCCACCTGGTGCAACTGGGGCGAGTTATCAGGGAAGGGCCCAAAGCCAGGAAGGGAAGAAGAGGAGAGTAGAGATTTACTGGGATCCAGTTCAGTGGGGTGGGTTACCGTGGGTTAATTGGGATTATAGCCCTTTTTCATTTTGTGCCATCAGTTAGCTGCACTTTAAAGGAACATAGAAAAAGCGCACAGAACATAAACACTCAAGTCTCAGACCCACCCCTGACTTTCCTTTAAGAAGATATCAAGAAAAAGACTATACGACTGGTTAGTTTTCTTACAACATAAAGTAACCAACCCCCTGAATCCCCGGGTTAGGTGGGTGGCTGTGGTGATGATACACTCTGGAGTCTCACCCACTGCATGCCCACGAGCAGCAGTGAACAGTTCAGTCAGCCTGGCCTTTCCCTACAGCCCTCAGAGCACATGTCCTCTCCCAAAAGGTAATCTTTACCAAAGGCAAAGAAACAAATTAAAACCTATTGTTAAAACACTCTTCAAAGGACATCCCAAAGCAAAAACAGCCAATTTTGGGGGTTGCCAGCCTTTAAGATTATCCATACAATTGCCTTCATTATCTGTAGATAGGCAAAAGTCCATTTTAAAGAAGATGGATACCATACATTTCATGGAATGTTGATATAATCCCAGAGAAGGAAAGTACTGCATTCTCCAACCCCCTCATTTTACAGATAGAGAAAGTAGAGACCCCCCCCCCAAATCATACTAAGTCCTACAGTCTCTTTCACATGTCAAGCACAGGGCTAGATGCTGTATAAATTTCATCACAACAGCCCTATGAGGCAGATAATCATAATTTAATCCCTATTATACAAACGCAGGAGCTGAAGTACAGAATGGTTAAAGTAACTTGCCCAAGGAGGCACAGCTAGAAAGTGGAGCAGAGCTGGCATTTGGATCCTAGAACTGTTGCTATATAGCATTTCTCCTTTTAACTAACATGTCCAGCCTCTCTCATAGTTAAGGAATCATAGCTAGGATAAGTAAAAAATTTGATTTTCAAAATATTCTAGAAGGAAATACAGAAAGCCAAAATGCAAATCTTGACTTAAAACTACAAAAGATGTGGAAGCTTAAACCAGAATACAAAACCCCACAAGAAAGGGGGGATATCCAACAAAATCTTTTATTACTAGTAACTGCATGTGTCCCTTAAAGAACTAAAACATTAGCATCTGGGCCAAAAGGAGGGCTAAAAATAGGCATCTGCAAAGAGTGTTGGAAAGCTCCTTGCTTATGAGGCACTCATTTCTGTAGACTCCCAAAAACATACGCATCACAGAACACAAAAATTCCCAAGACCACACTGCCACTCCGTTGGTGTCATATTTAAACTTGTCCAAGCTGCAAATAAAATCAGGGCTGGAAAAGGGCCTTAGCAACCCATGTGGATGGACTCCAAGAACGGGCCACCATCTCTAACCTTACCAGACAGATGATTCAATCACAAAATTCTCCCTCAGATACGATCCAAGACCTAATAACTGGCTCAAACAGAGAAGCTACTGAATTAATTCAGAGTTAGTCGGTCAAAGAGTTAGTCCAAGAGTTCAAAATCAACAAGTAGACATGACACTTTCTTGTCTTAAGATTCTAGAAAAACAAGAACAGAGCAAATCTACCAGACTCAGAATTTTGCTTTGGGCACTTAAAGCAAGTTGTCTTCTCCACTCAAGGGAAAGGCAAGATGCCAGCCAAGCTGTTCTTCCCACGATCAATAACCCCAGTGACGCACCCTATCAGGGGCCCCTGAACTTGGCACAAAGTGCCAGCTCAGGCACCCAATACCACCTGATGTCATGACTGATTTAAAACTCACAAGTCAGGTTCAACAGAAGCTAAGCAGCAGCAGCAAGGGTGAGTAGCCCCATTTAAACTTCTGAGGAGTGCTCTCTCTTGGGGATGATTACACCTCTTTGAGTTTAAAGAGTGGGGAAGGACCAAAGAGTCTTAAAAATTGCTTTCCCTCCCTCTGTGGGTGGGTCAGGAGGGATATACAAGAAAATGGAGGTTTCAGCACTGCCCTTTGCATAAGAGGGTTCTGGAAGGGAAAGGGGGGAAGGGTAAAGGGGCGAGGGCAGAAGGAAGAGAATATGGTTTGAGGTACTATTAGTAAACCCCAAATGTCACCTCCTCCAAATGAAGCAACCTTAAAAGAAATAAAAATTGCAACATGCCATTTTCCGAAATTGGCTGTTCTGGTTTCCCTAGAAGTGATTCTACTCCCTCGAATGTGAAGGCACTAAGCTCCTCTTTCAACTTTCTCCATTTTGATGGTTTAAACCAGTCAGTCTCAATCAGCTACTGCAGAAGGAGAGGGGAGTTTTGAAAAAGCACTATAGCTACGACTACAGGCCATCATTCTATCTACAAGCGAGTTTTGATTCCAGTCCACTTCATAAAGGACCCCAAAGAATCCACCCTACCGTACCCCCTATACGCCGGCAAAGGGAGGAGGGAGGGTGGCGTGCCCCCCACCCAAACCGACGACCTATTCTAGGCAAGGAAGGCCGAGACGCACCTCCATATTCTGCACCGCCTTTTTCCCCACGCTAACACGGCTCTGCTGGGATTCCCTGCTCGCCCACCTTCCTCAAGGAACCAAGGCCAAAAGGTCCAAAAAGTCCAAAAATCCGACGTGAGGGAGGACGGACGCGGGGAGCGCGGGTCGGCGGTCACATGCAGCTCCCCGCGCGGGGAGGCACCACGTTTTCCCGGCTGCGAAGGAATGCCGGGAAGGGGGGGACGCGCACACGCACACTCCCAGCCGCGCCGCGGCGCCGGCCCGCACCCACCTTCCACCCCGAGCGCGGCCGCGGGCGCCAAACGCAGAGGCCGAGCAGCACGCGGGTCCACGCCGCATGGCGCCCAGAACTGTCACCCGCCCGCCCAGCTGGCCACTCCCTCCCCCGCCGCCGCCACACGCCCCTCGCGTCGCCGCATGCCCCCTCGCTCGCCTCACATTTTCCGCCAACCCCAAAACTGGCTCCCCCGCACACTCGCCGTCGGGCTCCCTCTCAAGGCGGAAGGTCCCCGGGATCGGGGAGGGAAATTACCGAATTCAATGACACGTTGGGTTTCCTCTACTCCCTATCCTCCCCGTAAACCGACCCTTCAACCCGTCGCCAATGGTGATTCCACCGCCTAGTATCACCTATTAGGGAACAAAACTTGTTAACTTTTAAATCTCGATTCCGTGTGGTCGTTACGAACTCCTCTCCCGGCGCTTTGCTACCCATGACATATGCTCATTAAACATTCACAACATGGGGACGATCGCAACGCTACGAGAACCGGGAGCCTGGGGCCGGGTGGGGCGAGGGAGCTACCCGAGAAAGGTTTAGCCTAGAAACCGTCTCTAAACAGCAACACGCGGTACGGGTAAAGGGCCTTCTCCACCGAAACGAGCGCCCACCCTCTCCGGGAGAGCTAGGCCCGGACCACGCCGTTGCCCACTAACCGCTGAGGCCCAGGAGGTGGCAGTGGCCTCCCCGAGGCCCGGCCCTACGGCAAGGGCAGGTTCCCGAGTGTGCCGGTGGTGAGGGCACAGCAACCCTAAAACAGCCAGAAGGCAATTTTTAAAAAATCGCCAGTCACCACGACCAGTGGCGGACCCCCGGGCCCTGAAGGCCGCTGGGGGAGGGGACGCCCATGTCCCCGGAAGGGGCCCCGGACCCAGGATAGCAAACAGGGATACACACCTGGAGGAGACTGCCCGTTCACGGTGGCCAGGACCGGCGGCAGCGCGTTCTTAGTCCACGGGTTCACCTTGGGCGGAGGGGCCTCCACGAAGTCTCGGCGCCCGACGCCCGCGGCTCCGATCACTCCTCCGCCAGCGCCCGGCTCGCCGCCGCCGCCCTCCTCCCCGTCGCTGACCGCCAGGCCCTCCGCGCCGGGTGGCTGCGGCGGCCGCGGGCTCTCGCGTTCCTGCTGCCCGGAGCCTTCCTTGTGTGGTTTGGCGCAGGTCGGCCGAGGTCTCCGGGCGCCGCCGTCCGGCTCCCCCCCTCCGACGTCTTTCGCCCCAGGCTCGCCCTTGCCTTCGGGTGGCGGCGGCGACTTCTTCCTTACCAGCCCCCCGTGCTCTTCGGCCTGCAAGAGCGGGGCGCCCCCCGGCAGCAGCGGCTCCACCTGAGTGGCCATCTGCGCGCCCGCCCCCCCGGAGAAGCCGGGCGCGCCCGAGGCTGCCTCCCCCGCCTCGAACTTGGCTCTCAGAGCACCCGCGACGCTTTCCTCCCGGGCGCTGGGCCCCAGTCCCTGCGGAGAAGGGTCGGGGTTCACGCTAAGCGCGGCCCCCACTCCGGGTCGGATGCAGCCGGCGTAGGTCCGAGGCCCGCTGGCGGGGGCGGGGGGGGGAGGAAGGCCCCCCACTCTGCGGTCCAGGCCTCCTCGGCGCGCGTCCCCCCCCGCCCTATCCTCGCAGGGCGCCCCCACCCCGAGCCTGGCAGGCTTCTCGTCCCGTCCCTCCCTCCCCCCCGCCCCCGGGGCGGCCCGGGCTTCCCGGCTCGGGGGCTGCAGCAATATGGACGGACGGGGGGAGAGGCGCGGCGAGCCGAGCCGACCACGCGATCCGCGGCAGGCGGCGGGCGGGCGGGCGCGCGCCTCCCGACGCGGCGGGCGAGGGGAGGGGACGGAGCAGCGGGGGCGCGCCCGCCGGGGCCGGCCTTTGGCGACGGGCAGGCGAAACCCACGGGAGCGCGCGCGCACCGCCTCGAGGGCCCGCCCCTCGCCCCGCCCCTCACCTCCGATTCCTCGGAGTACCTCCCGGGCTGCGGGGTGAGGGGTTCTCAGACTGGACGGGGGCGAGCACGTGCCTGATGCAATTCGGGAGGGAGGGCAGGAGAGATGAGGGGGGTGAGGAGGGGGAGGTGTCTTAAAGGGCCAGCACGTGAGAGCGCCCGCAGGTGGAGCACATGGGAACAGGCCATGCGGCCTGCCGGCCCTGCTCGTTCTTATTAGATTGGGTGCGCCCGAATCGGGGGAAGGAACCATTAATATCACTCCCGATTTACAGGATGGCGGAGAGGGGTGCCCCGAGGACGCATGGACGCCGCCGGCTCCCCGCGGGCCTGGCCTCTCCAGGCTCCGCCCGGGTGACCTTGGACGAGCCGCCCTCACCTCCCCGGGTGGTGCTCAGCTCCTCCCTGGCCAGGACACTGCCCCGAGAAGGGTTCGATGCCCGTCCCGGAAGGTAGGCCCTTAATTCTTAGGGGCGGCTGGCGCCTAGGAAGTGGAAACTGAATTACCAGTAGACACCCCCCAACAAGGCCAAGGCCCCAATGCAGAGTATTTATGAGCAGGAAATGTCTTTTCTTTAAAGTAGATACCGTTTTTTCTAAAGGACTGCTTTGGGCGGAGTTGAACTAATGCCCTGTTAGGAGTCCGGATATCTGATATTCTATCCTCGCTGGGCCCAGCCCCTTACCAACTCTGCAGCAGTCCCTCAGTGGGCTTCAGTTTCCCTATTGTAAAACGAAGGAGTGGTGTATGACTGGTTTCAACAGTGCACATTCAATTCAATAAATATTTACTGACCCAGTACTGTGGGGGCCTGCAAGGTTCCAGGAAACAGGGTTTAGCAATATATCAGGCCGAGAAGGTCCCTATCCTCATGGAATTCACATCGTATGGTGGAGAAAGAGACAAACCACGTGATAAAACAAGTGCTTGTCTAGTACCTATGAAGACAGTAATTACCACACGACTAGGTTAGGTTAGACCAGCTACTTCAGTTCGGATGATGAGACAAAACCTTGGATGTCGATTGCAAAGCATTTGAAATCAAGCATGCCCAGGATTGGACCCAGAAAACTGCATGTCTAACAAGCCCCCTTGGGCGCTCATCCACCAGGTGGTCCCACACTTCGCTTAGAGAATTCCTGGCCACTGACTGGCTGTGATCCCACCTGCTCACGACAGAACAGACTGGAATGTTGAAAATCTCCAAGGATTAGAACACACGACCTGCTGAGTAGAGGAGAAGGCTTTTGAGAAGCCTCCAGGAAGTGCCCCAGTGGGCAAGACTGGTTGGACAGTCGTAACCACGACCGACTACTGGGGAGCAGTGCTGTTGGGAACAGCCAGGCTACCTGATGTCTAGTCCCAACTCTTCCATAACTTGCACCTTGGCCAGCTCTCTACACTTCTCCTGGACCCCCCTCTCCTGGTGGAAAAATGAGGGTAAATTATGCAGGACTTGCTTCTACCCTTTCAGCTTTTGTGAGGAGTCAAGTGAGACAATGTTAGTAAAAATGCTGTGTAAATTACAGAGACTGAGGCCAGTGCTTCAAAAGAGGTACCAGGGAAGGTAATAATTAAAGGGATCCCAATAAATTTAAGTAGGATTCTTTGTAATTGCATTACATGTGCCTTTAATCAGAAAGTAAACTATTGCACCTTGCTGATGGAATGCACTATTTTTTATTGTATTTATTGATAAATATTTCCTGAAGAAGTTATTCACATTAGATCCTGTCTGAAGTTTGTTAATAGGGGACATAATGGTCATTGTTGGTCATTCTTCCCTATATTCTTGCTATTGGAGGTAGAGGGGAAAGGTGCCCCCATACAACTTGTGAGGGCACCAGGACTCTGACACTGGATAAGAAACCGGTTCACACTAGCCAACAGTCATTCTGAGCTGAGCAAGCACCCCCAGGCCCTGCTGAATGGCAGTGGAATCTGCACACCTGGGGCTTGCCCTGCAAGAGAGCAGCTCAGAAACACCAGTATACCATTTTACAGAGAAGCAAACTGGAGCCAGAAAAGGTAAGACACCTGTGTGAAATCACATCCTGGACTGAGGCTGTCAGAGAAGGAAAGATGAATTTTAACTCAATCATCTTGTTTTGTCATACAACTTGTGAGGGCACCAGGACTCTGACACTGGATAAGAAACCGGTTCACACTAGCCAACAGTCATTCTGAGCTGAGCAAGCACCCCCAGGCCCTGCTGAATGGCAGTGGAATCTGCACACCTGGGGCTTGCCCTGTTCAAGAGAGCAGCTCAGAAACACCAGTATACCATTTTACAGAGAAGCAAACTGGAGCCAGAAAAGGTAAGACACCTGTGTGAAATCACATCCTGGACTGAGGCTGTCAGAGAAGGAAAGATGAATTTTAACTCAATCATCTTGTTTTGCAGATGAGTACAGTGAGGTTCAGAGAAGTGCAGTTACTTAACCAAGGCCACACAACTAGCTCATGGTGGAGCCAGGTCTCACACCTGCATCTCCTGACCCTAAATTTGGTAGCTTTTTCTATGTAAAATGATGGAATTGGGATTTGAATTCCTGTTTTTTAAAAATTCCTGATCCACTGTGGCATTCTATATGTACGAGTTCAGTTCTGAATGCTAACAATGACCAGAGGTAGTTAAGAGGAGCAACTTTTATTGAGAAGCTGCTATATGCTAGGTTCTATGAGAAATACTTTGCATTCATTACCTTATTTAATCCTCACAATAACCCAATGAAATAGGTATTAATACTTAGCACAAATTTCTATTGAATCCCTACTATGTCCAGGCATTAAGCTAGACCCTGTAGCTGTTATCTTCAATTGACAATTAAAAGCAATTAAAGTTCAGACAAGAAAGTAAGGTGGGTGCCTAGGGTGCAGGCAGCCGCTAAATATCACAGTGGGCCTTTTCAGGGCAGCCTAACCCCCCAGGCCTTGTTCTTAAGCACACCACACTGTAATGCCTGCCTCTCTTCCCTCCATTGCCAAATCTGCAAGTATTTATGGAGAACCCATCAAATACATAGGCCTGGGGAAGTTACTAAAGAAGTTGAATCATGTCTCTCTAAAAGATGAACTCTAATTGGGGGAACCAAATAATTAAGGAATATGTGACCTCAAGCCAAAAAAAGGGTACACTTTTAGTAGAAAGTAAGAAGGATTAGACAAACTTGTACCAACTTCAACACATCACATGGTTAAAACACATAGAAACACAGATTGAGAAAATCAAATTTAAAAAACAGAAATTATAAAGTGGGTCCGAATGACTTTCTGTAATTAATTATGTGCTTGTTTGTTTCTGGTGCTGACAACTTTCTAAAGAAAGAGAGAGGAGGCCAGAAGGACTAGTGAGTCAGGAGACCTGGTTTATAACCTGGGTGCCATCTGTGGCTTTGTTGAATGACTGGGCAGCTGAGCTTCCCTGGGCTTCCATTTTTCCAGCCTCAAAATGGGAAGTATAACACTTGCCCATCTGGTTTATACATGTGAAGAGGAGGGGGCATAGATACAAGAGGAGGATGTTTCCTTGAGTTATCTGTGCTTATTAGGAAGGAAAATGCAACACACTTGGAACTGCAGTTTTATTCCTCTTTTGAGTTTGATTTTCCAAAGGACCTTGTGTTTCTGAAAGAACTTGGGCTGTAACACGTGTCTTCTGATATGTGGGTGTGGAGCTCCTGGGCAGAGTGTGGAGGAGTGGGCGTGGTTATCAAGGGAGGGGCCTTGACCAAAACAAACAGTGCCAGCTGGGGAGTGTTTTTCCAAACCTTGAAAATTCTTGGATCTTCTGGCACATGCCAAGAAATTGACTTCAGTTCATGGGAGAAGGCTAGCCTAGATCTCTTGTGAAGTAGATGCAAACAGAAATAGTTACCTTGAGGGGATTTGGGCAGAGTTGGGGCAAGGGGCCGGGAAAGGCTTGGGAAGGGTCCTGAGTTTTCCACAATACCTGATTAAACCCCCAGGGGTAACCCTTTTCTATAGGTATGATTATTCCCATTTCACAGATGAGAAAGTAAGCTCAAGGCAGCCCAAACTGCACCAGAAAGTTGGTAAAGGAGGAGAATAGGTTTGCAATGAAGAAGATCTAATAAGAGATTTCACGTTTAACACATTCACCACTCAGTTAGAGACAGGTATCTTCCCAGTTTCTTCTCCTGCATTCTCTCTATGCAGCCTCTTACCCCAGCCCTGTTACCCTTCCCAGCATGCCTAAATTTCTCAAGTGGTCTCATGATGGGTTTCCCCACTAGTTGTTCTCCTTGTGATGCAGCCTATCATACTGCCTGAGCCAGTTCTCTGACTCGTTGATAGACTTTGACAGGCCCTACATCTGCTTAAAATCTCTGCATTCACATCCCTGCATGGCCTGAAGCCTTCCAGTCATTCATCCCACACTCCAGCAGCCGGAGACCACTCACTGTTTCGTTCATTCAACAAATACTTATTAACTATCTACCATGTACCAGCTACTACCCAGGCCCTGGACGTGGAGAGGTGAGCAAGACACACATGTTCCTGGCCTTAAGGAAGCTCCCTGTCTAATCCCCTGTGGACCCCATGTTTTCCTGCCCCAATTCATGCTATTTCTCTTATTGCAGTGTAGCTGTTCATAGTGAGGCCTTGAGTATGAATCCCAGATCTACTAACTTGTGACTTTGGGCAAATATTTAACCTCTCCCTAAGCCTTAATTTCCCC